TACTAGTCACATTTAAACCTCCAATGCTAGTTTAAGTTTAACTAGCAGTCTTCAGAATCTTTTTGACCTGACAAATTGAACAAGTATGAAGCCAGTGAAGGCAGAACCTTTTATATATGCATACTTGTTCTGAGTCAGTGTCTTAGCATTTTGAATCAGAGTGGCAGCCCATTTGCTTTTCTCATGACATGTTTAAGATCCTGCAATCAGAGCCATTCCAATAAAGTGTAAGCTCTGCAGAACCGTTGAGGAGCATCAGCAGTTTGGCTCTTTGTTCTTTTATAGCTGTGTCGGAGGTAAAATGAATAATATCAGCCAGTCCATGGCATCTGAATAGGAAGGGGATACACATCTCAATCACCCTCCGGCTCTCATGCTGGCTCCAAGACAGATCAATATAGCAATTAGATGTTATCAGCTTGTGCTGCTTCTCCTGCTTCCCTCTAGCCTTGCTCCCTTCCCCCACTAAAAACTCACAGCTTTTATGCCCGCTCCGTACAGCCCTAATGTAATGTCACACGGATATCTGGGTTTAAGACCTCTGTGCGACTTTGTGAAGCAATCCAGAGAGAACCGATATTAGGAAAGGAAAAATAAAATGCAGAGCATGCTTGAACTCCCACATCTATACTGTCAGTATCTGAACCATGCCTGCATGTTAACCTATACACTACCAGTGCTGGCTATGAACAAAGAAAGTGGAAGACTAGAACAGTGCTCAACACTGCAATTTTGAATGGTTTCCATATGACTATACAAAAATATATACATATAGTATATTGCATTGAGAAATAATTATCTTATTTTCCAGCAACAGTCCCTTTTTTTCAGTTGAGATATAATGCTATAGAACCTCAATGCATGGACTGTAAGGAGTTGGCATAGGACACTCTTAAACAACAATAAGGTTAGTATCCAAATATTTAGGGTTACGTTGATGTTAGGTTATGGTTAGAAATATATTGTCTTAGGTTTAGGTCATGTTTGCGTGAAGCATGTCCCATGGTTTGGTTACAGATTAGTAAGCTGAAATATTGAGGATAGGTAAAAAGGTGAGGGGTTCACTCAGAGTTAGGTTTATGTCCGGGCAGACAAGACACAAATGAATACAGCACTGTATTCATTAATATGTACATCCTTAATGTATTTTTTTTTTTTTTTAGCATGTAATTTTTATTGGAAAAAAAACAAACTTCTGCATACATACAGAACGCATAAATAATAGTGTCGCGTAAAAGAATATTATTTTTTATGGCTGGCGGTAGGGATCTGATAGGCGTGTGTAAGATACCTGATAGGGACCAAGGGTATACTAGACTCTTCTCCAGGTCCGAGTTAGTGAAAAATGAGGTGTCGTTAATCCAGTCTCTAACATGTCTGAATAAGCACGCTAGGTTATACATCCGTACATCTGGTATATTAGCTCCCAATGATTTCGAGGGGAGTTGGAGTCTCCGCAGAGCTATACGTGGGCGTTTTCCCCTCCATATGAATTTGGAGAAGGCCGTATGTAGCGTGCGAACATCTTTATGCTTAAGTAAGACAGGGATGGTCTGCATAGGGTATAATAGGCGTGCAAAGCTGATCATCTTGATTAGCTGACATCTACCCAGTAGCGAGAGGGGAAGATCACGCCAAGAGTGAAGCTCCTGGGTGATCTTGTGAATTAGCGGATGGAAGTTTAGGTGGTATAGCTCCGTGGCTTTGGAAGAGAGGTGTATACCCAAGTATGTCACCGCATGTTGTTGAAGTTTGATAGAGAAGCGTGGAGGCCAGCTGGATTTGTCTAAGGGGGAATGGGAGGGCTTAATGTATTTTTAAAGTGAAGTGGTGTAAGTATCTGAATGTGATCTGATATCAGCCTCTTGCAATCCACTGTGCAGCAGAACTCAAGCTGGGTAAGGAAGAAGCAGCACAAGCAGGCAATCAATTGTGCTGCAATGCAAGGACTACGGTCTCATAGGAGAAGAGAGCAGAGTGGCAGAAGGATGAATTTATCCATCTGCAGCTTTTCTTTTTGAGTGTTATTGAATTGCAGCAGAGAAAAATTTGGTACTCTACCTTGAAAGACAGGGCTGTGCTTATAGCAGAGCTGTGCACATTTCAGGACTTGATGAACAGAAATACAAATCGTTTGGCTGGTAAAACAGCTCCCTTATATGTATTTCATCTGTGTATTGTTTTCCTAGAATTCAGCTTTAAGGTTAGGAGTAGGATTGGGTTACGTGGTAAGGTCAGGTTAAGTGTTAATGTTCAGGGCTAAGTTAAATGTAAGGGGAGGTTATGTGTCAAATGTATGGACAAGTTAAGTGGCAAGATGGTGGTCAATGTAGGGTCAATTGTCAGTCATGTTAATGGTTAGAGAGAGGTGTTATATTGGCAGCATGGCTTGACGTATTTCTATTTTAACCCCTACTCTGATACCAGCTGGGCCACAAAAGAGGGACTGATACATCTAAGCACAGGTTTACTTTAAGGTTAACAAAAGCCATGTCAAGTGGGATTCCTGGACAGAAAGATGTGAAGCGGTATACTGATTCTCAATGTTAAGTGTAAGACCAGAGTTAAGCAAACTCCAGCCCTCCAGATGTGGTAGAAACTACCAATCCCATCATGCATTTGGCACTGGGAGTCATGCCTGTGGCCATCAGAGTCTTGCAATGCCTAATGGGATTTGTAGTCGCACCACAGCTGGAGGGCTGGAGTTTGCCTATCCCTGACTTAGACTAATATACAGTATTTAGCTAAGCCAATACCAAACAAAACCATAGGTTTCTAAATATATTTACTTTTTTTTCGAAAAGCTGCAGTTAAGCTTTAGTGTTTTTTGTTTTTAATAAATATATTTTTCTTATAGATGAATGCTGGCTTTATCAGAAATGTTTTAAAACCATATAGGCTGTAGATAAAGGCTGGAATTTAAAGGCATGAATTGCAATAACATCCATTCTAAAACCATCATTTTTATATCCTACTCTACCATTTCCACTGGACATCGAGCTGTGTTGACAAATGCACAGATACATTTCAGCAGTAGTGTGCAGCACCTGAAGTGGCTTCTACTGGGAGGTGGACGGAACGGTTAATATTGAGTCAGTCTGTGTATTAATTACATCAATCTATCACACAGAAGCTGCAGCCTCAGCAGTTTAAATTAGGTCAAGCTGCCTTGACACCAGATAGGGATGTGAGATCTTGCAAAGTGGGGTTCACGTTAAAACAAAGGAAGATCTGACCCTGGCCCTGGGAATACAGTGGCTTCCATCAAGAGCCGAAAAGACTTAAGGTGCATGTGTCTACCCACAGAGCATGTAGACATTAGCTTTACACAATAATCAGCTATAGTTCGCATCCCATTATCCTGATGACTTTGTTCAGAACACCTTCTACATAATACAGTTTTACACAATGACATCACAAGATCTGACTAAGGTCCACAGTAACCCAAAGTAATGTTTAATAGATATCTCCCAATGGAGATGCGTGTTCCAATAACAACTATCTCGGAGAGGATCTTCCAATGGTGATACATGTTCCAATAACAATTTTCTACGAGCGGACCTTGCAATGGGAATACATGTTCCAATGACAACTGTCTAGGAGGGGATTTCCCTCACTTTAGAGAGATTATCTCTAATTTCCTGGTGTGTCTATAGGACAATAAATAAGGAAAGTCTCCCCAATGAGACACAGTTGGTAATAAACCTGACAGGAGGTTTGAACATTCACTACTCTGTCCAAAATTTACAAAAATACTTTGGTCTTAGATAAACTTTGTTTCACTACCTATATACTGCTAGTGAGTAAGTATTACACTGTCCTGTCATCCTTCTATGCTTATATTGTCTACCCTTTTCTTATCTATAACCCTACATAGTACTGTACTCCCATCCCAAGAGATTATTTTGGCCTTTCCCCCATAGGTAACAGATTGTGCACCACCCCAAGCCAGGTAAATCGTAACATTGCACTACAAGAATTATCATGGCATCTTGATCTATGATAATCTTGCTGTCTATGGTCAAAAGGAAGACTTCAAAGCATAAGACCTTTTCCGACTGTACCCACTTTTTACTGCATTAGATTCCGCTTAGTTAATCACTACCACTACAGAATTATGCCTCGCATCATATCAGGCTGCAGCATATGGCCCTAATCCGCTGATAGTCACAAATGAAAAGCATCTGAACTTTTAGGAAGAACATTGGACACTTACTTCCTTGTGGTTTTCCACAATATATTATGTTTGGAGTTAATTAAATTAATAAAATAATTTGCTAACATAGTTACAAACTAGCACACTGAAAGTGGAACTGAACTGAAGACGATAAGATTTTCTGTTGTAGGGAACATGTAGAAATGTAAATTGTGTCCAAATAGTACTCTGAATCATTTACCTTCTGTTTAAATTCCTCCTATAGAAATAGCACTGATGTAACAGTGCAAAGGTATTGGGTCTACAACCTCATAACTGTATGACTGCTGTTTGAGAGGCACTGCTGTCTCTGACTGCTAGTCTCAAGAGATTTGGAGTGAGATGTGGTGGTGTCACTACTGTGCTGCTCACTGTTCTCCTTGCTGGAGAGGGAGTTGTACCTGAGGACCTGCAGCAATGATCTTCCTGCTTCGTTCATTCAGCAAATCTGCCTTCTCCACCTCTCCAGCAGCTCTGATATGAAGAAACAAAGCCATGTTCCTTTATCAGTATGGCCAACTCCACAAAGAGACACATGACATGATAAATCAGTAAATAAAGATCAGCTGCAGAGAGACCTGACAATGCTGGTGACTAGTCCTTTTCCCTCTGCTTTTCTTTTTTGGGAACAATTTCCACAGTTCATGCATTCTTTAACACTTGACATGCACTAGAAATGTGATAACTGAAATCTGATTGACTGATTTCAGTAACATTGACAGTTTTCTTTACAAATACTAAATGCAAGAGCTTTGGCGTAAGGAAGAGGTCATAGGTAAAGGTCCAAGGGCAAGGGAATCCTTACCTGCTGATGTAAAGCTAAGATGATGACTGCTTCTCTTACTCTGGTTCTCGGGCATTACGAGTTGGTGGCTCTGATGAAGGCTGGTGATGATGCTGGATAGGTCGCTCTCACGGCTGCAATAAAAGAAAATAATACCAAGAATCATTGTCTTGTTTTATTCCATAAAGGAAACATATGTTCATATGACTGAATGTTTAGCGTGTATACCAGTACTATAATAAAAGGGAAAAAGTGTGGCATGTTTGTTTCAGAAACAGTAGACAGTCTTGTGTTGTACATAGTTGTCCTCTACAAGCTAGTCAACTAATCAAAGAACAAAAGCTGGTAGAATATAAAGCCCAAATTTGTGCATGGGGTACATGTTATGGATATTTCATAAAAGCATCCCCCAACAATTGCCAAACTACATGACCCATGGTTCATACATAAAATTATTCATTTTAGATTTAACATCAATCAATTTAATCCAAATTAAACAGAACTGTGGCAAGACTAGGGACGGAATCCCCCGTGGGGAGATTTCCCCTCACTTCCTGTCCAAAGGATATTATTATTATTATACAGGATTTATATAGCGCCAACAGTTTGCGCAGCGCTTTTCAATATAAGGAAGACTTTACAAGCACAATACAATTCAAGACAAGATGGTAATCAATCTAAAAGGTAGAAAGTAAGTGATTTCCTTCCCAAAGTGAGAGCAAATGCTATCTTAGACAGTTGTCATCATAACAGGTATCCCCTTTTGAAAATATACCCTCTACTATTGTTCCAGTGACAACCCAAAAATGTTAGATTTCCCTCACTTTTTGTGACTGCATTTACTACTACAAGTAGTGAGGGTGGTTCTCCCCAATGGGCTCTCAGACCGAAATCCTACAGGTTCTATCTCTTTCCCACTCTAGCAAAAAACTACAAAAGGCTACTTTCACATCAAACCTAGAGCACCACTACAGCAGGCAGAAACAAATCATTAGCAATCTTTGAAAGGCACATGCTAAACACTTGGTAATCTGTTACTGGATGTGTAGATTGTGTATGTTTTCACTTGTGTTTGTTTGAGTTTCTGCTCCATTTTCCTCAACCTATCTAAAAAAAATGATAATCCTACATTAGCTTGTTTCTGCTTGGGCTAGAAACAAGCCTAGGATACCTAAGCTCTTCCAGTAATCAATCATAAAGACTCAAATTGTATATAATGCTCCAGTTTCCACATGGAAAAGTTTGTGAATGGATCACAATCCAAGAAAATGCCTTGGTCAGCATTCATTGTAAAGCAGAGACAGTCCAACTAAGGAGCCTAAGATCGTTACAGTGATAGTACAACTTCAGCAGAGCAATTAGTCTGTAAGCTTCACTATGGCAGGACCTGATGTGGCTGGGACATCACCTTCTGCAAAACACTGCTAATTATGCTACTAATTTATACATTACTCAAATAAATGTATTACTAACAGGATAATCTGCTGCCTAAATTTATCGTTTACCCTCAATGCAAGATAGAAAATCACAAAAAAATAGCAAGGCAATAAATGAGGATTTTTTAATAAGCCTTCGACTTGATATAGTATGCTGAGATGTACCACAATGTATTTTTCATTTATATAAAATGTAGCAGGATGCAGAAGTGAATATTTTCATGTGTAATTTTGCCAAAATAACAGCAAGTTAACCAGAGGTTGTAACAAAAAACTGGCAGAAACACAGCCCTAGCTTATATATTTATATAATAAAAATAGTATATGTACAACAAAATAATGTGTCCCATAGCCACTTCTATGAAAACATACACGGCGTGTTAGATTGAAACGTTGTTACACCTCATTAAATAATAGGCATATGCTGACACAATGTAACGGTATCTCCTGTCATTTAAGGCTCCTCCCTGCCACATGTGCGCAGTGCAAACCTCATAATCCCAGCATGGTTGAAGATGGGAAGTAAATTTAATGAGCACCAATTAAAACTGGCAAGGAACAACTTCTGCCTATTGCTCTGAGATCACTGGACTGAGAGTGCTAAATCATTATTATTTCTGTGGGGTTATCAAGCATGACAAGGAGAATCATTCCCCTTCCAATAATTACACAGCTAATATTTCATGGAAAGGGGCGCAGGGAAGAGCCTCTCATCCCCTTCGTAGTGTAAAGTCTTGAATTCTTTTCTAGCCACCAATTGTTTATGGTAAAATGCTCAACAATCTTCTACTAGAATGGATAAGTGAGCTGAGGATGCACAGAGCAGCAAGTTGATAGTTGTGGAAGAACGTGATTGTTAAACGCTGGCTCAGATATGTAGAACATAGATTAGTCTTACATCTGCAAAGCTAGATCAGTCTCGCTGCCTTTTATAGTATAAACATAAGAGAACCACTTGTAGTGTGATCCATTATTATAAAAATACATTCTCATATTTAATGGAAAGTTCTCACCACAGTTCCCTCCCTCACCCCAGAAGCCTCCAGCCGCAGTCTCTTCTCGGACCCTCACCCTAGTTCGCAGTGGTGAAGCTTTCACTGCCCTACAACTAGTATGTTGGTGGGCATGGGGGGGGGGCTTTGAGTATGGCTGCTTCCATCACAGGTCTGTCAGTTAATTAAATACAGTGATGACAAAATCACTTTGAGGTACTGAAAAACTTGAAAACTTGATATAGGCAGCGAGCAAACAAAAAAGGAGAAATTCTTCACAACAAAATCAGTAGCATTGGGGGAAATAATTATTCTTCCAGCCAAATAGATATATATGGCATTCAAAAGTTGCTGAAAGCTTTTGAGTAAAGAATAATTACCAAAAAATACAAAAATCTTAAATATCTGCCATATGTTAAAAGCAATCATTTATAGTAAAAGGAATATGTTTCAGGCTCTAAAAGCACTGCGTGGTGGTTGAGAGAGCAGGCGGAAAAGCTTTTGCTGAAATGACCATATAAGGTCATCAAATTCTAAGAGCACTAGGGTCTGCCGCCCATAACTACCTGGCTGATGAATGTTAAAAGAAATATTTAAAACATAAACAAAACATAAAAGGCTAACAATACACCCATCTCAAGACACAGAGTTACTCACTTGATCTGAGACCCCCATCTCTGCCTCGGCAACACACAGCACATGGTCTGCATGGAAAGAGTGGGATGCAGATTAACTGGACTAAGTACAGAACTGTTCTCAGGCCCCCTGAACATGGACCTTGTGAGCTACACCACGGTCAGACAGTGCCCTTTAAATCACCTATCCGCCTGCTGAGCCCCCACCATTTTGCACACAGAATCCCTCCAGCACCATGGCCAGCTGCCCCCAGCAGTGTGACTGCAAAAGGGCTTATCTGCTCCTAAGACCCCCGTAGTAATTGGATCAGGCTGTCTCCACATCAACGTCTTTTTTGGTTAGTCTGGCTACAGATTTCTGGGGGATAAAGTAACTTTAATGGCTCGATATGATCTCTTTCTTTTCTCACCCCACCCCAATCACACACCTGCTTTTTAAAATGTGCATCCACACACATCTTTCTTTTAAATAATGCTCAGGCCAATTGTGCCCACATCTAGACTAATAGGAGGAAAAGGGGGGGTATAGACAGTGCCCAACACTTTAATCCCCCTTGGGTGTGATCCTCTCTCAGCGCTGCCAAAGTACACTGTATTATGTAAATATTGCTGGTTTGTAAGCAGTTTATGAGGTGATTACCAGTTCTGTGTGTGTTTAATCTCACGGATCGCAGAGGGGAAGACTGGTCCAGAGGACAAACGGAGATTAATGTTACCTTCAGCACATAGATTCAAGGGAGGAGGGGAGACTGCAATGTATCCTTATGGGATGTGTAAGCGCGAGCATGCACAAATAGAGTTATTACTGGCTTGTATAACTGCCAGGCACGCAGTACTAAAACTTAATTGCTGGCTTCTGTGGCTGGGACTGATCATGTCCAACACACATTTACACAGGGCTCTCTAGGCCAATCTCTCATATAGAAAGCCATACAGCCAAATATGAATGCCATGCTACTGGTTAATATTGTGCTAATCCCAGTTTAGGTTTAAGTATATCAGGGCAATGCATGCCTTAGGCCCCATTCACACCAGGGCGGTTGTGGATCAGCGAGGGTTTCCGCGTTGATTTCAAAAGGGAGGTTTGGGGAGTTTTTAATTGCGTTTCAGCGCTGAAACGCAATTAAAAACGCCCCAAACCACATTGAACAGTGCGGTTCCATTGAAAGCTGTATGTAACCCGCACCTGTATGGATCAGCTGGTCAAAAAAGGGTCAGGGAGCAATTTGGGCGGGGGCGGTTCCGATCGCACAGAGTCGCGCGGTCGCATGAACGGTCCACACAGCAATGTATGGAATCGTTCAGGTCGGCGGATCTGTGCGGCCGAACCGCCCCCATGTGAACGGGGCCTTAATGTTCAACAATTTACATAACACTTCCACTTACGGATATAGACTGCATACTATGGGGTTGATTTACTAAAGGCAAATAGGCTGTAAACTTTGCAAGGGAATTTGCACTTTGCAGGGTTTCCCTTAGGTTGGTGAATGTGATTATTTTTCCCTTTGAATAGCCAATCATGTGCAAGGAAAGAAAAAACTGTCAGGGTTATTCACAAAAGGGTGAAGGGTTTGGAGAAGGTAGGATAAGTGAACAATTCTCCAAGTTCAGCTATGTTGTCCTAGATTTTTCACTTCTCCTACCTTCTCCAAACTCTTCACCCTCTTGTGAATAACCCTGTGTATTTTGCTTGCACATGATTGGGTGATGGAAGTTGGAGGATCTTCACCTCATTCAATAAACTATGGGGTAACTTCCCCTGCAAAGTACAAATTCCCTTGCAAAGTCAGCAGCCTATTTGGCTTTAGTAAATCAACCCCTATGAATCCAAGATGAAAAAAGGTAAGTTTAACTTGTATACTTTTTTTTATCTTTTATTACAGGGCCTATGTAAAGCAACTGGGAGCCACTGCAAGTGGGACTGATCCTAGCTGTCATTTTCCTAATGGGAGTTAGAAACATAACTGCTCAGCTTTTGTATTTTTAAGTCAGTCTGACTAGCGGAGGTGACCCTGCATGGCCCTTAAACATTCACCACTGCTTCTACTAGTGCCTTTTCAATTGAGTCGGA